GAGCGACTGCGCTGGATGGTGCTGGACGAGGTGGACACCCTGATGGACGACTCCTTCGCGGGGATGCTGGAGGAGATCCTGGCACACGCGCCCCTGGCCGCGGGTGCACCCGGGCCGGCTGGCCCTGGGGAAGAGAGGACCCAGGTGGTGGTGGTCGGAGCCACATTCCCCACGGGGCTGAGCCAGACGCTGGGGAAGTTCACCGATGTGGGCCAGTTTGTCACCCTCGCCACCCAGAGCCTGCACCACCTGCCACCCCATGTCCAGCAGAAGTTTGTCCGCATCAAAGGCCAGGACAAGCTGCCCGAACTGCTGCAGCTCCTCAAGGAGCACCCAGCGTCCAGTGGGTCTATTCTTATCTTCTGCAAAAGTGCCAGCACTGTCAACTGGCTGGGCTATATCCTGGATGACCACAAAATCAAGCACCTGAGGTTGCAGGGACAGATGTCAGCAGCTGCTAGAGCTGGCATCTTTGCCTCGTTCCAGAAGGGTGATGTGTCTGTCCTTGTCTGCACTGACCTTGCCTCGCGGGGCCTGGACACCAGCAGTGTGCAGCTAGTGGTCAACTATGACTTCCCAGACACCCTGCAGGACTACCTGCACCGTGTGGGGCGAGTTGGACGGGTTGGAAGCAAGACACCTGGAGCTGTGGTTAGTTTTGTCACCCATCGGTGGGATGTGGACCTGGTACGAAAAATAGAGACTGCAGCCCGGAAAAGGACAGGTCTCCCAGGCATGGACTCCTCGATTAATAAGTCACCTGTCAAGGGTTGATTCAGGTTGCCAAGCACTAGTACATGGCCCGAGTGTGAAGTCTTTAAGGAAGAGCAAATGAGCTTCTGTGTGTAAGCTAGATTGGAAGAATAGAGGATTGAGTTTCAGAACCAGGTGACTGAGTTAACTGTGCATTGTTCTGGAAGCTGCAGTAGTCATGTCCAGAGGCATTGCAGTTCCTGGCTTTCCAAAATGAAGCTTGTGAGTAGTAACATAATGCCTTTGAAGAAGACTGAAGAATGATCTCATCAGTTGATTTTGTTTTTTTGTTTAGACTTCTAACTTAAATCCAAATCAGAATGAAAGCATGCCTGTGTGATGTGCAGCTCTGTTGTGTTTCATCGCTTCCCACCACCAGCAGCTAAACATTCATTGTTAAAGCTTTAAAATTACTACTATGGCAGGAAAGAAAAGAAAATATTTTCCTAGTTTAAGCAATTATAGATACATGTAGAAAGACTAAAGGACAAATCGTATCTGATTTTCTTGTGATGCAGCAGTTCATTCAGAGAATTCTATACCAGATACTTCTTTATCTTGATTGGTGGGAACGAGAAGGCACAATAAAGCTTGAGACTTTTGCAGGGTCTTAATTTGTTGTTTTATGGTCACCTTTCACTGAGAAATGGGATCTTGCTGCTTCATGTTCTGTTAAATTTCTAAAAGCCTTCAAGTATTTTCTGCACATTGTTGCTGCATGCTGTGATGACATGTCCAGGCTGAACTGATTGTAAGAACAAAGGGAATGACCAAACCACCAAAAGAAAAAAAAAAGTCTCCTGTTACAGAAAAGAAGTTGGGTTCTAATTCTAACTCACAGGTTCTAATGACTCACATGTAATAGAGTACAAGATTTCTTTTGAGTATCTTGCTATTTTTCTTTTCTGCTTTAAACCAAAAGGAGGTTATTTTGTATCTAGCTGCTAGTTTGTATCCATGGTAAATAATCACACAAACCCAGCATTTTAGCTCTGATTTCTGTTGCAGTGATTTGTCACAGCCTTTTCTTTTAATGGTTGTTTTTCCCATGCTGTCCCTTTAGTGTGTACTAAAACTCGGTATGTAGAAATAGTAAGCTGTTAAAAGAACACAGAACAGTATCTAAATACTTGGTCGTAGAGGAAGTCAGGTTCTGGAGCTACTTATAGTATACTGAGTAAAAACTAAGCAAACAGAAAGCTTGCACATCACTTGAGAATAAGGCTGCATAATCTAGAAATTGTACGCATGTACTCTGTTCACATTGCACAGTTAAGGGGCTCTTACGGGAAGTTACAAGCTGTGGTAAAATTATTTCATATAATAGAAAACTTTCAATTAGAAATAGAGTGGAAGAGTGATTCTCTCAGAGACTGGAAACCTTTGTATTTTGGACCATTCATTGCGTAGACTACTTGTGTCTCCTCTGTAGATGATTTAACTGCAAATCGGGCAGTTTTGCTGTCCACAAGCAGAACCTTACTCTTCACGCATAAGAGTAGGGTAAAAACCAGAAATCTGGGGACAATCTAGTATTTTAATTTAAAGATCCTATTTCCGTTCATATATAAGCATCTTACGTTGTTATCTTTAACTGTAGACATACAGATTAATTTAAGTGAGGTAAATTGTATTTGAGAAACTCCAAGTAAAAATTCTAATATTTTCTTGTCTGCTTTGCCCAAGCAGTTTCAGGCTGGCTCCATCTCAAGTGTCATATAATTTGAATCTGATGGTTTTCAAAGCTTCAGTACTTAGCTGTATTAGCATTAATACTTGCTTCACAGAGTGTCTTTCCTGAGGCAGGTGGTGGTGACTGTGCTTCCCAGATCAATACGGAGATGCCCTTTTAAGTTTCTCAAGGAAATTATTGCTTGGGATCTCAAATGTCTTGACTATAAGTATTTGGCTTCTCATAGTTATCATACAGGACTAAATCAATCAGTTTTTCGGGCTAAAATTTCCTAACTGTTGCAGGTGTGTACTGTAATACTCTGCTCTATTACCTATATTTTCCAGCTAAATGGTACAACCAAAGTTAAACACAGTTAAATGATAACCACATAAGCAGTCACTTCTGACACAAGATCTGTGGTCGAACTATGTGGCAGTGGTTGTTGATAGTGAATGTATCTGCTTAGTTTGTGTTAGTAACTCAGTGGTGATAAGAGTAGTTTTTTTTTCTTGAGTTAAAATATGTGGAAGGAAAATGGAAGGAAGGTTGGCTTCTCATTAATTATCCAGATTATAAAAGGCAATGTGGGTATACTTGGAACTGAAGTATAGAATGCAGATGTTAAAAATAAATTATTGATGTGTTACATGTTACAGAACTTAAGTGTATGTTCTGATAGCTGTAACAAATTCTATTGAAGACGTGAAGATTCTGTTTGGATGGTTTTGTTACGGGTTTTTTTTTTTTGTTTTTTAGTAGTTTGTAGTTTAACTTCTGTTACTCACTTTTAAAGGCTCAGTAGCATAGTGTATGAATCTGGAATTGTGTTACAGTGAATCCCATGACAGGTCAGTCTGGATTGTAGCACACCGTATGATCAAATCAGACAACACAGTGAAATAATAAAGTCCTTTTAGCCATATGCTTCTTAATTTTGAAGTAATATGCACTTTATATATCTACAAACAGGAACCTTGAACTTGGTACAAACGATGTTTAACCTGATTGTTGCTATGGTACTCATGAACAAGTATTCCTAGCAAAAACCCCCAAAACATTTGACATTTACATACTAAAGTAGCCAATAAAAAGCTTTGGGTATATATACTGAGAGAATACTACGTATACCAATAAAGCCTTTTGTAAATGTTGCTTTCAAACAAAACCACTGTTCTTTTAAGCATGTTCTTTTAAACACTTTCCTACTGTTACTCACGAAGAGACAGTGATAAAGAGACAGTGATAAAGAGCAGTACTTATATTTGAGAGTGTACACACATTCAAGCCCTGGGATATGTAAGCTGATATAGAGCTAACAAATGCAGACATGCACATCACTGACATGTCATGTGAAAGTTCTACAACCCAGCAGGTAAATACTATAGCAAAGCCTTCAAAGAGATTTAGAGGCCCTATTAGAGCTAGCGAGCTAAAACTGTAGCTTGCATATGGTCAAACCTACTTAAAAAACAAAGACATATTCAAAAGCTTTTTAGATTCAGTTTTCCTAAACTGTTTTTCTGTGCTCTCTAAACTTCACATTACTTATTGTGCACATCCTAATGACTGTCTACATGCATAATTAACTGTTCTTTTCTGTCTGTCCGTCTTATATCTTCTGTGGAACTCTATTTTAGACTACTACTTTACTACTACTACGTATTTTACACATAACTACAGCTACATATGAGTTCTATCTTATGGGCAGTACAAGGACATTCAAAAAATTGTGTTGCACCTGGTAAGGTGCCCTAGGACAAGCTGTGTCAAGCATCCTAACAGCCACATGGAAAATGCCTCCTACCACTCTGGTAATCTAACAAAATCCACATTTTTACAGATTGCATCACTCCCTGAAATGCACTTGTATACTTGTTCTCCCCAGACAGCACTCTTTCTCCTCCTCTTCCTCCTGAAATGTATTTGTGAGACCAATTTACATGTTAGTAGTCGAATGTGTGGTGGAGAAGTTCTCCGTACGTACTCTGACCAATTTCGCAGCGGGAACTGACTGCAGGAAGAGCTTGCGGGTGAAGACTTGACGACAGGCCTTGCGGAAGTTTTCTGAGAGGAAGGCATAAATGATTGGGTTGATGCAGGAGTTCCCATAGGCTAGGCAGTGAGAGATGATGCGGAAGGTGAAGGAGATGTTGTTCAGAGGAAACTGCCCAAACTCAGCCCACATTGTGATAATGTGGTGTGGCAGCCAGGAGAGCAGGAACACAGCAACCACAAGCAGCACTGTCTGTGCTGTCTGGAAAAGACAAGGTCACAAATTAAATGGTTTCAGTGATCAAGCAAGTCTCTGGGATGAGTGAGTTTGCCTTCCTCTGTCAGTAATGAAGGCAGAATAACACAGGCAACACTAACAACTGCCAGGTGGGCACATTATGGCATTATGAAAAAGGATGCTAAAACCCATTTCTCCTCTGTGGAAAGCAAGGATTGCCTGTTTTTGGCTCAAACAAATAACTCTATAGGCAATGGAGATAGAATAGAATCATAGAATCCTAGAACAGGGTTGGAAGGAACCTTAAGATCATCTAGTTCCAACCCCCCTGCCAGGGGCAGGGACACCTCACACTAAACCATGTCACCCAAGACTCCCTCCAACCTCGCCCTGAACACTTTTTTTTTTTGGGCAACTGGTTCCAGTGCCTCACCACCCTCACTGTGAAGAACTTCTTCCTTATATCTAACCTGAACTTCCTCTGTTTAAGTTTGGACCTGTTACCCCTTGTCCTACCACTAGAGTCCTAATGAAGAGTCCCTCCCCAGCATTCTTGTAGGCCCCTTTCAGATACTGGAAGGCTGCTGTGAGGCCTCCACGCAGCCTTCTCTTCTCTAGGCTCAACAGCCCCAACTTTCTCAGCCTGTCTTCATAAGGGAGGTGCTCGAGCCCCTGATCATCCTCGTGGCCTCCTCTGGACTTACTCCATCAGCTCCATGTCCTTCTTATGTTAAGGACACCAGAACTGTACACAATACTCCAGATGAGGTCTCACAAGAGCAGAGTAGAGGGGCAGGATCACCTCCTTTGACCTGCTGGTCATGCTTCTTTGGATACAGCCCAGGATACGGTTGGTTTCTGGGCTGCAAGCGCACACTGAAGATGGCTCATGTTAAGTTTCTTGTCAATATAGAGAGTGCCTCTAAAACCTAAAACAATTCAGACGCTGCAACTATGTTACATGGAAGAGTGGAAATAATCCATAGGATTTGGAGGCTGAGGAACATTAAGGCTATTGAAAATAACTGCAGGGGAAAATTGCCTGGCATATAAAGTGACAAAGCATATTCCCATGTGAGTAAACAAACTCAGCTCCCAAATGTCCTCAAACTGGCCATGCTGGGAATCAGATGCTGTCCTTATAGTGGTATGATTAGAAGTTGATGGAACTGAAAGACACAGATATAGTGGCCTTGTGGGGTTTAACATATCTACTGTGGTATGACAGGTACTAAAGAAATTATTAATAAACAGGTTCTATCGTTAGTTTCCACTGGTAATAATGGTGCTACTTGATTACCCTCCAGCAATGTTAAGTAGCTTGGGCTTGTTACCATGGCAACCTTTTATAGCATGCCATGCTTAAATTAGAGGGCTACAAGCACTGAAATATTCTTTTGAGTGAGGGATATATACCTAGTTTCTTTTCTCCCTTTACTGTGAAAAAATAAACCATGTATTTAACATAGGGCTGCATATTAAAAAATGGGTTTGCAGTTGCTGTTTGTTAGCATAAAGCTTTTTCTGAGGTCCAGCTATTAGGGATTTTGCAGATGCAAACCACAGACAACACTAGAGCAATAATGTACATAATTCATGACTCAAAAAACATGTTTTGGAAATAGAAATTCTGTCTGTCTTTTCAAGTTGGGGAGTATCTGGTTAACAGAGAGGAAACAAATAAAATCTATTTGGCTTTTAATATGGTAACTTTATAGCTGTAACTAATGTTAGTACCAGCTGTGGCAGACAGTTTGAGAGTGTTCAGTGGGCCATAGTAATTAACACAGTTAATGGGTTACTGTTGGTCTAGCTCTGCCCACTTAATGCCAGCCTTCTGGTTCATCTCCAAAGGTTCAGTGGGTCTGTACTAGATGTGTACAATGGCCGCTACTGGATTATTTCTCTTTTTATACTTCTAGAAGTGTTTCAAGCAGATCATAAAATAACTTAGAGCATTATTTGTTTTACAGATGAAGTAAGTGTGTGTAAACTATACAGTGAATCCATAGCATGGTGGGAAATGGAGACTGGGAGAGTCGTAAATATTTTTGTTTGTCAAATAAACTTCTCTTTTATTCCCCCCAGTTTTTTCTGCCATGCACAGATTCTCCAGAATTTACTTGCTTATTCTTTTGGTATCTTTATAGGTGGTCTCACTCTCATTTATGCTTTCCTGCTTTTCTTTGTCTTTTTTTCCCTTTCCCAGGGGAGAGAGCTTGTCACTTGCCTGACCTAGTCAGGAAAAGACACTTCGCTACACATCTTTTTTCAGAGCTGATCAGGCCATCCATTTGTACTGTGTACCTCAGCCACACAGAAATGGGAAAGAACATTCAGTGAGGTTTTTATTAAATAGTACATTCTCACTAACTCGCTGAAAAACTGGGCTTCATTAGTGAGACAACTGCTGCTTTCTGAATGTGGTAGAAGTTTTTTTCTCTTTTTTTTTCCTTCCATGACTCTGAAGGAAGAAGCATAAAGAAGCCTATGCCTGTTCTTCCACACTGTCTTATCAGCAAATAACAACTGACACTTCCTCTATTACTGCTCTGTGGGAGGATGGGGGATGTAATAAACTTGGTTTGGACTTTGGCTCATCTTTCTCCTTACTCCCCAAAATTAGTTTCAATTAATAATGTTCTGCTGTGACTCCAAAGGCAGACTTATTCTAGCTAGTCCTGCTTCTTCACACCATACCATACCATACCATACTGTACCATACTACACTGTACCGTACCATACCATACCATACCATACCATACCATACCATACCATACCATACCATACCATACCATACCATACCATACCATACCATACCATACCATTCTTCCTCAGCCTTTGTGTGGGGGCTGAGACTTCTAATACAAAGTCTGATGATGTGCTTTACCGATAAGTTATTTTTTCCTGTCATGTTAATCTCTAACTTGTATCTCTTTTCCCCTAAGGTTTGAGAGATAATTGGTGCATGTTTTGATTGCCTCAGACTTTGAGTAAGCTACAGAGTTTCAGACTTGGCTATATATTGTACTTCTACTGTAGCGAAGGCTGTGCAAAGCAGTACTGACCCATGGTGCCCTAAACTTCTGCTTTTAGATACGGCAGGTACACACTATGGGTGCCCAGAAAGGACATGTGGCTTAGCACAGTCTACCACTGTACTACTGGAGGTACTTACCAACTTCTGAGCGATTTTTGTGGCTTTAGGTTCTGGGATCCTCTGTTTTCTGAAGTCAGAAATGAGTCAAAAGCATCCCTTTGCTCCAAGTCACTCTTTAAGCCAATATGCAAAGTGGAAACTATCAGTTTCTTCTCTCCTGGTGCCACATTCTTCTCTCTTTGTTCACAAGTCTGACTCTCCCTCATGCATTTGAAAACATCCTTTTCCTTTCTACCGCTAATGTTCTAACAGAAAGGTCCCAAAGAACGATTTGATCTCCAGAAACATGGTTATAGCTTAGTGATAAACACACAGCTAATTAAAGCTGATTAAAAAAGTCAGCATACCTATTCTTAACTTAAATGTTGGGTAGCAGCTTCCTCTGCTTCAGAGCAAATGCATATGTTACTTACTTCTGAAGCACTTGTAACTGCTGTTACTTGTAACTGTAACTGTAAATAGATTTACACTTGAGTGTAATTCTATTCTTCAGTGGTCTGAAAATCACACTGGAAGTGTTCTTTTTCAATGTTCTCTGTTTTCTTCCTTGCAATCAGAGATGGCGATCGGCTGTCATGAAGAGGAGGAGAGATTGAAGCAAATAGATTTTCAGTTACCAGTTCATTTTGGCAGTTTGCACTGTGTGCTAAGAGTGGACTCTTCATTTCCTGGCAGCTTGCTTGCAGTATTCTGACTGCTGATCTGGACATCTCTTATTCTGTGATTGTCATTAATTTCCTCTGTTGATGCCCTTAGTACTTGCTTACTTTTTATTCATAGATGCCTATGAGCATTATGATACTCCTATTATTCACTAATTGGTAATGATGCTCTCTATTCCTGCTGCCATAGACTCTTGTTAGCAAAACAACTTACAGGATTTCACTTCTGATTAATATTTTTTTGCTGGACGGATCCCAGGATCTCCAATGCTCCTTTGCTGTACTTCCTGTTGTTCCAGTGCCAAGGCCTTGAACATCACATTCATTAAGACTATATGAAAACCTTCCATTTGTATGAATAGAAGCCAAAGAAATAGCTCAGCATGTAGGAAAGCAGTTACAGTGCAACTTTCGTTTTCTTCTCTTGGCCAAGATATTCAGGAATACCTGTCTGCCTTGAAGGAATTCTGTATGTTTTACCTGAAGCTCAAGTTGAGGTAAATATCTTCAACATGCAGTACTCCAGGGGGTGTGTCAAATCAACTCTGTGTATTTGTGTTTAGCTAGGTCTGGGAGCAATGAACAGCTAATTTGCATGTAGGTAAATGTAAGGTGGTGAATATATGAGCTGAGGAAGAAAACAGCTTCATAGAGAGAGATGTGCTTTGAACTGACCATTACAATTTTGGGACAAGATCTAGGACTTAGGATAGTTTTGTGGACAGCTTAGTTCTCAACTCAGATTGGCTAGAAGAGCGTATTTCTTATCTTTTTTTAAGTAATAAAATAAGGAAAATAGAATTGTAGGAATTATTAGGAAAGGAATAGAGCACAAAACAAGAGACACTGCTCTCCCACCAGGTAAGCACGGTTCATCTTTCTATTGTAGTTAAACAGTAGAAAGGGGTAGTATTAATTTGTTAGCTTTAAATGGCTCAGTTGTCTGTTAATTGGCGTTTTTGGCCTCAAGGTTCCACAAGTCCTAGTGTCCTTTCAAGGGAGCTTGCAAAATACCTGTGAAATTCATATCCTCAGGAACATTCTTAAACTTGAAAAAGCATTTCTGATTGTTCAGTTTGCAAGTCTTGTTATTTGTTCTTTAAAGATGTAAAGGACAAAACTGAGTAAACATTGAGGAACCCTGCTGTGCTTCAGAGGTCAGTAAAACACCACAGGGCCATTTCATGATCAGAATAGACCTTGGTTTGCATTAATTTCCATTGTGAAATCATCTTATTTACTGCAAATGTACGTACAGAGTTCCTAGGGCTGGGACTTTATGAAACGCTTTTCAGCACTGCCACACAGGGAATTGTTAGCTTTCCATGGAGCAAAATTATAGACTTTCTGTACTCTGCCTAATGCAGAAAGGAAAGAACAGAACTGAAGTATAATTTACTTGTGGTACAGGACTGCACAGAATTTCTTAGCATGTGGTCTTGCTGACTGGCCTCTTGAAATGATTATCCAAAACTGCAAAGAGGAATCCTGCAGCATCACACCATCTCAGTTTTAAGGCTGGAAAACCTGTGCAGCTAGTATGGCATTAAATGGGGAAACAGAGAGTCATGTATCTCTTCTACAAGTACAGTCTTAGGTCATCGTGCAGAATTTCAGCCTAAGCTTCCAAAAATTCCTAAATTCTTCCTTGATCTAATGCACAAATACTACATATAAATGGAAAAACACATGAAATTGAGCATGTCCGACACTGACATGGCAAGCATATATAAAAATTTGCAAAGTAGGAATCTGAATTAAAGGTCAAGCTCTTTTGATAATGGAATATGAAGTCAGGATACAACCAAATTTGTGCAAGGGATATTTTTGCAAAGTTTCAAGTCTGCGTAAGCTGAAAAAGCTGCTGTAACTTAAAAGCTTGCAAATCACAACCCAAGCATATGCTGTGTGTGCCTGGAAGATTTTATGTCATCTTTAGGATTCAGTTAAAGACAAATTTGTTCTTTTCAGCAAGTATTTGAACACTGACTTGGAGGGGGCAGCTGTCAGAGCTCTCTGGGTTATTAATAAACTGGGCCCATTCATCCAAAATGTGTTTGTCGTTAACTTTATAATCATGTATCCAACATTGCCGAAATGTTGGGCAATGTCTTAGAAAACAGGGCCCTCCTATAGTACCTATAGAGATACTATAGGTTTTTTAGATCTAGTCCCTACATAGCTTCAACTAACACAAACATTCAGTACAATATTGTGGCAAATGGGACAATGATAGACAGTAGAAAGATGACAAATAATGGAAGAGAAGAGAGAGGTGATTTGAAACCATCATGCACATAATGAAATCCACATTGGAACCCCAGATATATCTTGTGGCAATGTTGTGTTCATGACAGCACAGTCCTCAGATCCTGTTGATGCGAAGCCTGCCATTTAAGACTTATTTAGAGAAGATGCTTCAGGTACTGGTATGCAGTGGAAACCTTTATCTATTAAAAAAAAACCCCACAATAACAAAATCACCCCAAACCCACAAGCTAAACAAACAAAAAAAACAGAACAAACCCAAACCCCCTTCCCTTAGGGTTGGGAGGACAATTATAACTCAGGTGTCCTGCTATCTTGAAATTATATGAATAAAGTAGAAACTGAGTGGTCATAGCTCCAGACTGTAGTCTTTTGTACCCGTATGACACTTCATTTTCCCTATCAATCAGTGTGGTCAAGATGCACACTGTGAATTAACAGATGGGAATCAAGTGATTTTATCACCTCATATTGGGAGACTGCTGTTGTGTTACAATTACTTTTGATAGATCAAGGCAGTTTAGGTTTAGCCACTAAAGTCACACATGTATTTCAGAACAAGCAAGATGTCCTGTATATGCTAAATTAACCTTTCAAATCTGGAGCAAGCATAATTTGTCAAACATCTTCGAGCAAAATTACATGCTAAGAAAGGTTGGACCAGATGACCCTTGAGGTCCGTATCCACTCTGGTGTTCTATGAAAATAAGCAAAAGCTGTTCATCTAATCTCTGATGAAGTTTAACTTAAAAGGAAATGAAACTGCTTGTCACAAATTAGCTTCCTTCATATATACTTAGCAGGTCAATTAGACAGAACTGACATGCACAGATGAATTTCCTATTTAGCTCTAATATGAAGTGTTCTTAAGAAGATCTGCTTTGAATGATTGACAGTTAATGTGTTTCAAGTATACTTGGAAAGCATATGCAGAAATTGTGCATGTCTGCAACCTACCCAAGAAAGACTCCTTATAAAGTGCTAAGAAGTGGTTGAAACAAAAAAATACTTGCAATAGGTAAGCTAAAGATGCTCTTTGCCTATAGGAAGGCTAGATGAGCAATTTCTACACAGGAAGTGCTGGAAAGGGACAAATTGTGGAAGATGATGCATGTGTATAGTGGAATATATTTGATTTTTCTTTCATCTGAAAGGATAACCTATTGAATTGGCCTAATTGTGCCAAATGGAACAAGAATTGCTACTGGGTGTTCCTGAATCATGGCCAGGGAAGTACCCTTAAGTACTCCCTTAAGGAGGGAGGAAAGAAGTGCTGTACCATTAACTTGTTAGACAGGTGAAGTCAAAGATAGTTTCTTAAGATCGATTCTGTCAGCCACATCTAATCAAGAAACTCAAAGATGAAGAAACTGTAGAGCTGTTTTTTCATCAGACTCTACAGGTGGAATCTGAAAACAGTGCAGACAGATACATAAATGAAATTCTGTAACTTACTACTTTACAGGAAAACAACACCAGAAACTTTCAACCGTTGTACGAATCTCATCAAAATCCTCTTCTTGTGAGCAACCTAGATTTACAGGCTAGTCAATAAATCAATGGACCCAACCTGTCATGCCCAGAAGTGTTTTTGTGTTTCAAAACATCTGTAGTTTGTTGCAGCTGTGGTACCAGTGTCTGTCTCTTTTTCTGGAGTCACATCAAAGTTTTGATTTCTATGTCTTGCACACACTTTTCAATCAAATGGCCATGTTTGCTGTTATGGCCTTCATTTATATCATAGATGGAATCACAGCAACATTGTGTAGGGATGCTCTAATGTGGTAGGTAGCCCTGAAACAAGTCAGTGCATTGACTGAGAACAAATCAAAGCTTTTCCTAGGCATCTCCACTGGTTGTCACATCTGCTCGGAGACACACACACTGCTCATTTGGGTTATACAGCTGCTGCATTGCTGGCACAGACTGTGACTGGACTGTGCTGTCAGCATCTAACGGTAGTACTCCACCACTTCCTGCCTTTGACTAGCCAGATAGCCCACGGTTTCCCTTATCAAAGTACACTCAACAATTAAAACATTTCTGACTGAAATAGCATTTTCCTCTTTCACATCAGGTCAGTCTGATGTTGCATCGCTGAAGTCAGTGAGTTTTGCTACCTGAAGTCTTCTGTTAATTATGGCTTATCCGCTCTAAGAATTTTTATTTTGGTTGTTTTGTTTTTTTTTTTTTGGGGGGGGAGGAATCTATCCTTAATGTTTTTCCCAGTAAATACTTGCAGTTCTGCTTATTTCATGCAGCTTGAACCAGGGATAATCCTATTCTTTGGCCTGCAGAGGGAACAACGCAGGATCCAGGTTCTTGCAAACCTGAAGATCTCAAATGCAAACTGCAGCAAAAGTGAAGTACTTCAGTTTCAGAGTTCTTCAAGTGTTTTCCTTTTAGCTTGCTAAGGTGTCCTCAAAACACCTAAATATTTTTATAGTCTGAGTATCTTACTGGCTGCCACTGTAAAAAATACAGTATTTATGGGATTCTTCTATAGCACAATAAATCAAAAGGCATGTATATAGAGATCAATACAGCATTTCAATAATGGCAACATTATGTGCTGTGTCTATAAAGATACAACAAACTGTCATCATGAATTCTAAACCTGAGCTGAAAGACTGGTACATGAATGACATTTCAGTATGCGGATGGAGCTTGAAAAGGCTATTAGTTATTTTAGAAACCTGATATATTTGTTATATTATAGTTATAATGTGTACAGATTAAACCAAAAATATTTACCTTCCTCTTTGATCTTTCTGACTTCTTGGAAATGTTCTTTACTTTCGTATGGAGATGATACAAAACCTTGGGGGGAAAAAAGGAGTAAGGTATTGAATGGTAAGTTGAATTGTTTGCATTAGTATTTGAACTTTTCATACATGCACCAAAAATTAAAATAATTGTTTTAACATGACTTCAACTAAAGTTGAATTTGATGTTTTGAGACTTTTAATTCTAAACTCTCCACAGTTCTTTCTCCTTCAAGAAACAAGGTTTGCCAGAAGCATTGAAACTGCTATGCTTCCAGAAGATGTAGTTCAGCACATAGTAAGAGCTCTGCTGGCACTAAGCTGAAATCCAGAGAAGTTTTTCCATGGATTGATTTTGAATTTCAAATTGTGCCTGAGATTATCTGTATTTATTCTTTAGGCTGATTATACACACAGGCAGAGAGCAGGCTACCAGTCACTGGTGTGACTGTCCTGCCGTTCCTGAACTTAGCACTAACAAATGGGGCAGGCAGTTGGGGTAGGTTCTCATTTCAGTGAGACAGTTATAAGAAATGTTAAAGCACTGTAG